TTGGTTTTCCAAAAAAAAAAACCCACTTTTTACGCATTTATATTTAACTAATTTTAACATACTATTTAATCTATACAGTTTGGTCATTTCTAACTTATAAAAAAGATGGTTGGGTAGATAGTATTCAAAACAAATTGGGACAATATTTATATCGGATAGAAAGACTATCCGTCTCTGACGAGTGTCATGCCACAGACATATACAAGCTGTATCACAAAAGTAATAATATTATAACACACAAAGGGCATATTCCAATATATCTGGATAGAAAGATAGTAGAAATATGTGAGAAATGATGATAAGATTAAGGGTGTAATCAGTGAAAGAAATGAGAGGAAGTGAAGTGATGTGAGGAGTAATTATTGGGGTACGTGGAGTTGTCGTTTGCATGATGGCAACATGAGAGGAGACGACAAACCAATTCCTTCACTGTAAAATCATTTCCTCAAATCATAATCTCTATAACAAAGCTTAATTATACTCATATTTTACGTACAATTATGGATCACTCATGGGCCCTCCAAGATTCGAATCCACCGATGATCATTCACGCCTGATTATTTACCCCTTATTTGCATTGTCCCTTCTCACATTGTAAGTCACTCTTTTGTTTTACCACGCTTGGGCTTATTCACCTAACACTTAACATGACTTGACCCTTTTCCCCTCACTCATTTCCCCCCACTGCTTCCCTGTCATTTAAACATAAAGCTTTTGTACGTTTTGCCATTTTACCATCTAAATTTGAATCACCGATTAAAAAAGAAATGCTATATATGTGTGACCAAAATTTCAGCGTACCACCAGAGAAACGCCTTTACATCTCTTGTCATTGCAGCAGGGAACCAGCAACACAGCAGCCATGGGCTCTTTCGTTTGGTGGAAAAGCACGGAGGCTTATGGTTCTTAATTATTAGGTGGGATAATCGTATACAGTCAGACAGAACCACAAGGGGAAGCCCAATAATTTAAGCACATCGATGGTACCATATTTTCAAAAGCTATGCTTAGTTAATTAATTAATTAGTAGCGCAATCTAATCAGTAAAGTAGAATGGAAGAAGTGGTCGGTCATGTGGCACTGCTTTAATTTAGAGTCATTTAGGACAAGGCGCACAAAATTAGCAATGACCCATACGCTCCAGTTTCCCCCCCATCACTTTCTGATTTGAAGTGTGAAGAACACATAAAGTGAATATATTAACCACGTCCCTCGCTCGCTCGCTAGCTAGCTACTGGCTATAATTTTGTCATCAGAAGATGGGAGCTTTGGTGGTTGGCTTTATCGGGAAGATAACTAATCATACATAATAATGATACCCTGTAGCTGCGCTTAATTATTGGGAGAGAAAAGACTGTGTTTAAAGATTCTGTAAAATGTTTAGGTGAAACAATGTTGTCAAACTAGGTTATCTTGAGGAACCATAATCTCATTTTTGTCAAAAGCAGTGGACTTGGAAAGAAAAGATATAGGCAGATCCATATGGGAAGTTATGGTGGGCAAGGCGAGAGAATTATATTTAATATCAGAAGCAATAATTTGGGTATGATCTCTGCATGTGTCGTGACATTTGATTGCAACCACAAGTGCTGGTAATCACTACTCCAACTTCCTTTAATCATGCAAGAAACAGGCATGGGAAGCCCACGCCATGAGAAGAAAACTTGCCTACCATTTAGGCTTTGTTTAATGTAAAGCACATCCATCTGAATTAATTGCATTATTTCAGACAACGAAACTCAGATAACGACGTGGGTCCACCCAGATTTCTTAGTTGAAATTGCTTCACTCTTCTGATCCCCTATCATCAGATTTTTCTGGTTTAATTAATTTTTAAAATCTTTCTGCTTTGTGACTCTCTACTTCCATCTTTTTTGATTTTTTAGTTTAAAATGATTGCAGGGATGGGCGTAGATTTGGGGATGAGATGGTGGCACAAGAAACAGAAATCAGAACTTCCATGTCGTTCTTGATGCATGTGGTCAAATGAACATTCCACATCCAGATTTGACTATATATCAATAATGAGTCATCGTCAATGTTATTGAAAGAGTGAATTAATTCAAAAGCTTCTCGTTCTTTTAGATTTCACAAAAAGAGAAGACTGCTTACCATAAAAGATACCATATCAGCTGAATCAATTTCTGCAGACCGACCTTTTGAGATTTGCAGGCGGTGGAGAATAATTAGGAGTTAATGGGTAGTTTGGTCGTTGGCTAGAATAATAACAGGTTGCTTTTAAGCGTTGACATGTTTCTGCATGAGACAAGTTTACTACAGAATATATATGCGTTACTTGTGATATTAAACAATTTAAACAGATATGAATATAATGAAAGTGGAAGCATTAATCAGTTGACTTATGCGAGCCTATTGAAGACCCCTTTTTTAGCCTTCATAGTGTTGGAGCCACATCGCATTACGTTAATTGATTATTAAACACCAGAACCGGATTGGTTGCGATAAGGTATGCATCTGTATATAGAAATATATATACACATATATATTTATATATATGAAAGACGGATTAAGTGCTTGTATCGTACACTGTGTAAGCAAACTGTTTTAAAACTGTCATGTAATCATTGATGAAGGTGAAGTTAGTTTTCTTGGCTTAAGTTTGTAATTATTTTCGATCGTTTTAACATGGATTTCAGAGTTCACTCAAAAAACATTTTGTCATGAAAAATCTGGTATGGTTTTTGTTTTTTAATCTCATTGAAAACAATCATATTTAAGGTATTATCAGAAACTAAATATAGGCATCTCTCTAATTTAGACATTCAAACATTGATTTATCACTTTGCAAAAAAACTAACTCGTTTCGTTAATCCAGTTTCTATCAGCATAGTATGAGCTTATACTTTTCTTTTTTTTTGGTTGCCCACCCAGTTTACCGGAGCTTTGTTCCGATTACATCTGGATCTGACCCGCGTTGCGCACTTGGCTATGGTGGGTGAGTCTCCCAACAGGAATTTCTGCATACACTGAGACTCGAACTCGAGACCTCACTTAAGCGGTACCAAGCCGCTTACCGCTTGGACCAACCCCTATTGGTATGAGCTTATACTTGAATGGCTGTGTTTTTCCTCGAAACTTTGAGCCCGTGTATGGGCCATCCCCAGCACCCTGGAATCCACTGGATCTTCAAGATGGTCCACTCCGAATTCATCCCGAACTTGAAAAAAGTTCCCTTAGCTCGTTATTTTAATTGGGAATGAATTTCAGTTTCCATTATCTCTGTAATATACTATTACCTCCTATTCTAAAAATAAAAACTAGTTTTTTTTTTCACCAGAGAATATAGACGCTAGTTAATAGTATAATTTATATTACAAACTAACTCATTCTTATATTTATGATAGGAGGTAGTATTAAATAGCAACTAATAACTTGTCATCAGACCTGACCTTTCAGTTTTCTTTTTGAGAAAGTCCAACTATTTTCTAGTGATTTTTGTAAAAATAAAATTAACTTGTTCTTTTTTTCCCCTTGAAATTTGATAACAGACGATAAAAACATCACGTTTTTTTCCCTGAGAAAATATATCTTCGAATTTTGGTTCATTTCATTTCCCTTCGAGCCTGGGGGCTCTCAAATTTGCGCACACGTTGAAGTGCAGTGCGATTCTTTTTTTTTTTTTTTGTTACAAAAATTTAGATAAGGGTTTCAACTCAACTCAAATTAACAGCAGGGTGCTTGAAGGGCTCATTCTAATCGATACTAATATTGAGCAAGACGAACCTATATTATGTCTCAGATGTTAATCTAGACACTCCCGTTCTATGATGCCTCTACAAGCACCGAGATGGAGAATCAAACCCTTTTTCTTCTGGGTGAGAGGGTTTCGTTCTTACGTCTCAACCCATAGACAATGGGTGTGCCTAATTCTAGATAATGACAATAATTTCTTAGCCAGAAATTTCAAAAGTTGAATTGTAGCGTGTAACTTTATTCTTATCCTTACGAGTAATTGTCATGTTCTCCTAATTCCTTTTAATTGGTTGGGCATCAAACCATCTTTAATAAGCTGTAATTATGTCAGCCTAAAAAGGTTATGCATATCAATTACCGTATCAAATCCTCACATAGTAATATAATTCCATGTCCATTTTCAGGAGCAAGAACAAAGAGGCAGGAGCATCCCTAAATCCATTATCAACTACTCCATCCTTTTGTTCTTATTAAGTTGCGATTTTTCAAACGCATGTATTCTTTATTATACGTTACGCTTGATAAAAGTTTAAATATTTAATATTTTTTATTTTGAACTTCAGTTAATTACATACCTCACCCATATTTTTTTCCCTCTCATCACTTTTTATACAGCTCATTCTCGCTCCCATTTATTGTTTCCGTAAATAAACGTAGCTGTAGAAAATAAATTGTATTTTTTATGTATTTATTTTCTTAATTAATTTTAAACAACTTTTTAATCAATATAATTTGGTTCATTGTATTATATACAGGGATATGTAGTATGTGGAATAATATTTAAGGTTAGCAAACCTCTTTTATAAATAAACCTCTGATATTTATGATTTGCCCCCTCATCATATACAAGAAATATCATTATAGTCCAAACACATTAATTTTTATAACCATCATACGCATTAAGCTTTAAAAATTTTGATTTTGAAATTAAACATTTATTTTAGCTTAATACCACCTCCGGTTACTATTTATAAGATTTTACTTATAGACTATAAATAAAATCTTATAATTATGACCAAATAAAACAACATCACATTTTTAAATATTTACATGTACCCGCACCTTCGATTATTAATTCCAACACCATGCCCTACAAGCTAGCTATTATCAGAGTTTCACATGCTTGGCTCCTGGATCCCCCAACATCCAAATCCAAGGGTGGGACATTATATCTCAGTAGTTTAAGGTAAGGGTCAGAGCATCATCAAACACAACGCTTATGATATTGGAAAACCCACAAACCAACAGGTAAAAACCCCACGTATCACAATTTCTGCTCGTGTCAGTTCCTGGTTATATCCCAGCTACGATATGGAAATGCTTCCAAAACATGTCAGTGCCGTCGGCAGGTAATGAATGGTGACAGTGAAACTGTAAAAGGTACGAGACGGCGACGCATGGCTTTTTCTTTTTACAATCACACAAGCATACATACAGACAAGGTTGAACCGACAACACAATGTGCAAACTACAGATCCTGCGTCACATCAAGAATTAACCCCCATATCTATGTTCTTCCATAGCTTATTACTCAGCATAGACACGGCTACATCATAAAACTGTCATGGTAAATAGTATCATGGTTAAGGAAGCTTAACATGAAATTTATCCAGATCATCATGCCTTCATCCCTTGCCTTTAAGTAATCACAAGCCCTTCGATTGCTCCCCCCACATCACCTTGAATGAAGCTTCCAATCCCGTACACAGTTCAATGTACCCGGTTTCACTTCTTATTTCTTCCTGGGAGCTGCAAGAACGCCAAGAAAAGTGATAAATTTTGTGAATCATAAAGAGTAAACACTCAAACACAAACTAAAGAGTAGAGCTGTTAGATATATTTTGTGCAGTATCCTTCGGATTGCTTTCACTTCCCTGGGTAAGCAGAAGAAGGCGGGATTTCAACTTCTGTTTCACAGTCAAATTCTGTTTAACTGTGGAAGTCAAGTTTTAATAATAATAATAGGACTAATTGGGATTTTGGAATTCAGATTCTAGGACTTGGGACATTTGATCCTAAGGTCAGAATAAAAATTCCTAAAATTCAATTCATGAAACGCAAGAAACAATCTACAGTAGAGCCACTCAAGTAGAACCATGTTTCAGTAGTACTGGCTCAAGATACGTGGTCAGTGGTGTGGAGTTGAACAGGAATACTAACCTAAACCAATGGCTTCAGAACTCTTCATGATCCTCATCCTCCTGCATGTCTCAACAAACATCCTGCAAAGAGTCAAGGGTATGGACGGTGACAATCAAAGTCAAACGATACATCTTCGTTTCAGAGAAATTTTAAGTGGCAGGCAAAAGCATCAACCATGTCTGTATCAAGATCATAGCAATGTGACTGGGAAGCTCAAAACTCAAAAGCATATATGTGGTGTTTCTCTCTTTTCAAACACAACATGACTTTTGCACGCCAAATTATAAAAAATAATTAGAGTTATAGTTTTTTCACCTCAATGCTGTGAGTAATACATCTCTATAATATAAATTTGCTGTGATGGAAATTATTTATCAGCCAATCAGAACTTACTCCCAGGGAACATCACCCACAAGCATCCAGTCACTTTCTTTGTCCTCATAAGTAAGAACATATTCAGACCCCCGAAGCAGATCTCTCATCTTGCTTTCATTCAGCATCCCCTTACCCAGAGTTCCATTAGATCCGCATTGACCTGAAATCACGCCAAAACAAGCAGTAACTAGATCCAGGCAAACCAATCCAGAATGTTTTCTTTAGAAGAAAACTGCTCAATTCGATGTATCAAATTGAAGTTTTTCCCTACCTATGGTGAAACAACTGAACATCTTCTCCAGAGAAGAAGATAGTTCTGTATATGCATGGTAATTCTTCAAGTCTACTTTCCTTAAATATGGAGCACCATCCATACTGACCTTGACAAACAGTGCTTTTCCATCTACTTCTTCAGTATTTTTCGTAGTGGTAGCCAATGAATTTTTCCTAAATGATCTAATAGGAGGCCAACCCACAACCTGTGCCCTGCCACAGAAGCAAGATATCAGATATCATTTTCATCATCATCACTACCAAATCCCCCCTTTCCACTTACTTAGTAGTATGTATACTGCTATTATTTGCAGAAACATTATAGTTTGGTTTGGTTTTGTCCACAACATGGGGACTCTCTTGTTCCACCTTTGGTGGTGCTGCTTCTTTTGCTTTATCGAGCACAACACTTGTTTTCAATCCTAAATTAGCAGAGGGTTTAGGTGACAAAATTGTATTCGCCTCCGTATTTGCTAGGAATTGCCCCTGCATGAATAGATAAGGAACTTGTTAATGTTTTGCCCAGCAAAAAAGTACATGCCCCTTGAGTGAATGGGATGTAACTTACCTTGGAGAACTCATTCATAGCATCTGAGAACCCTCTTTTGTTACCCAAAACAACATTCTTTGACGAACGATGTTGATCATCCGTTGAAGGATGCAAGGGAAAAAGAGGTTTCTCATCGAATTGAGTTGAACTTTCAAAGCACCGATGATCTGAGTCTTCTCTTTCAGGAGATTGAGATCCCGGAAGCCCCAGTCTCAGCTCTGTAGCTTTTAGGTTCAGCCTAGTTTTACTCTCGTCCGAGAAGGACTGAGCTGAGCTGTCCACTGAAGAACAATCAGACAATCCCATGTAGTTGCGTTCTTTCAGTTTGGAGCCGTTGAGGCAAACACTTTCCATGGTGGTTGAGGAGGCCAACACATTGACATCGCTTTGATCTTTGTCCTCCCTTATGCCGAGCAGCAGTGTAGACATTAGGATTCAGCCGAGGAAACTACTTATTGTGCTTACCCTGTCGAACACAACAGCATTTGACATTGTTCAGGGAAGAGATACACTGCTCGAGTAATTTAACGAAGTTGTAACATACAGAACACTCAAGTCGGCATAAAAATTTTGAATCAAAGCAAGCAAGAACAGCTAGCCACAGTTGATTAAGAAACAAGCCCCGCGAGTATTTATCTGACATTGCGTAAACCATTGAAGCATAGCTCTGCGCATAAACTATTTGCTTTGTCCATAACAGGAGTGAAACAGGCAACAATGGCCGGGTATTGATATTCAATAACGCGAAGTTACCAACACTTCAGGATTTAGAAGCAACATCTTGAAAAAGATCGGTGAAAAAATAGCCACAAGACAATATTCCTTTACGCTTACAGAAGAAGTTTCGCGTACCTCACAATAGACTATTCAGGCATGTAAGCTGAGGAGCTTCTACAGTAGAAACCAGTAAGCAGAAGAAATCAAGCGAGGAGAATTACGTGCTTTTCCATGTGACGAGTGTTCTCTGTTTGATTCATCAGAAGGTGAAAGGGAGAGGAAGAAATATTGAGTGGCTGTGCTCGGTGAGAAACACAGTGCTGAGTAAAAAAGAAAGTACCAAGTGCTGAAAGACTTCGGGGAAAAAATAAAAAGAAAGGGACAGGTTGAAAATTTCCACTAACTGTATGGGAGCCAGTAAGGAAAGAAGAGAAAGCTACGCCAAGTTGAAAGAACCACAGAAAAATAACTATGAAATCCGAAACGAATGCCTCGTTTTAACCCTCAAAACTTGGAAGAAAAATTGAGAGGCTAAAGATCATGACCGTTTTACCTGAATATTACCAGAGCAGAGAGCTGAAGAAGAATGACGACGCAGACTTCGGTTGAACACAGAGCAGCTGAAGCAGGGAAGAGAGAAACAGAGAGCAAAAGACACTCGGCCTTGATGTAATTTGCATTTATATTAAAGAAGAGCATAATTTGCTTTTGTCTACGATTAATTTCATCTTAAAATCCGCCCAACAATACGTGTGCAGTCAAATCGAAGGCTGAGATTCTCTGACAGTTGGTAACACACCGGTGATTCTTTCTTCGTATAAAATAGCTTCATTTTATGCATGCATGACATCAGACTATAGGAGGCAGTTAAAGGAAGAATACAAATAATATATGATGCTTCCAAGATAAACAGACAGGGTTCCGGCAGTTAATTGATTTTGCGGTGGTGTTTCTACGGTGGGTTAAAAAATTATTCATCGTGGGATTATGGTTATAATTAAGATTACAATTAAGGAATGTTAACTGTTATTTTAAAGGCCAGAGTGGTGGTGGGATGAAATATGCATGACATGTGGATGGCCTCAGCATCGCTTTTTGTGAGAGGGGAGGCAATTGGCATTGGTACTACGGAATCCACGAGAGAGAGAAGGGGGATAGGTGTTATTTGATTATTCACTAAAGTAGGCATTATCTGAATAAATAATTCATTTATTTGCTTGCCTCGTTTTTACCAAGAATATGTCTATTTATGTTAGTGGCAAATCTACAGGCTAATCACCTGACTAACCCGGGCCCATATATGTTTCCCCCTCCTCACATGCGCGCGTTAGAGTTTGCTCGTAAGCTTGTGATGATATGTACTTCATATTTAATTTTGAAAGTTTTTCTGAGCACTTGTTTAAATCAAAATATACACTCAGCAATTTAATTTGAGTTTCTTTGATGAACTATCTCACGCCAATTTTAAATGCATACTCTTAACACGAATATAAATAGAGGTGCCTTGGTTATTAAAAAAAAATTGTGTAATTCACTTCTCTTTTTGCGGACGAGTTATTATATATCGGAAATTTGGGAACATGGCAAACGTAATGATCACGAATGTGTTACTATTTCGCAAACTGTATAAGGACGACTTAAAATAAGCAAATCATTTACAATACTGAAGGGGTTTTGGTACCGGTTGACAAATCCTTGACCGTCGTCTCTTAAAAAGATTGCAGCTCAAGCTTCAAAGTTGGAAGCCAATCTTATTGTCAATATTATGTACTACCTCCGGTCCTTAATATAAGACCCCGTTTAACTTTTAGTTTGGTTCTAATTATAAGACTCAATCTATTTTGTCTCTCATATTTATGCATTTTTTTCCAAGATAGTCCTTCTAATAATGATAGTTCTAACCAACACACTTAATTAGCAAGGATATTTTAGGAATGACAACATTTATTTGTTACAAATAACTAACTTAACTTACTTCCTTAATCTCCTCAAATTAGTCAACTGGGTCTTATAATTAGGGCCGGAGGTAGTATCATTTACAAATTTTTCATGTAATTACGAATAGCTCATCTATTCACAAAAAAACATAAGAACTTTTAATTCTTTTGTAAGAAATATTAGGGAAGTGTTTTTGGACGCACTAATATTTTAGAAAAAAAATTAAGCGGGGTATTGAATGGGCTTGCGAAAAGAGGTGATGGATATCATTGTTGTTTCGATCAGTTGATGGTTTTTTAATTTTTTCGGCTGAGCATGAATATGGCTCCTTGAGGAGCAGAAAATCCAATAAAGTCCATGACTGATGGGTGTTGAATATTATTGATGGCAAAATTGTCATTCTAGGCAGCACTGCCTCAATGAAGAAATAGGAGGCATCTAAATCGGAACAAGCTTCTCTTGCCATCCTCGTCCCCTCCCTCTAAATGGAGGCTGATTCCTTTTTAAAAACAAAAAAAACAAAAAACCAACATTATTGAATGTGAAGTATTTTTTCACCAGCATTCAGTGTCCTAAAATAATTTTTACTCTCTTTGGCACCCAAATCTTTTTTTTTGTAGTATTCAGCATCTAGCCGGATGTACATACTGTGAACCTTTTCTTGTAGCACTCAATATCTTAAATTAATTTTTAATATGTCCGGTGTCATAAAATAATTTTTAGTATGTTTGGCACCCAACATTATTTTTCACTAGCTAGTACCCATTATCCTACAAGCTGCACTATAAACTATTTTTCTAATAGCACCAAGTATCCTAAATTAATTTTTATCACATCTAGTATCCTTCATTATTTTTCTAATTAATAATAACATCCAATATCAAAATTAGTTTAGGATATAGTGTGATTTTGGATAGAGGAGGAGAGGGGATCGTAAGGGTAGAGGAGGAAACCGGTTCCATCTAAGTCACCGCCCTCCAATGTCGTCATCCCGCCCTAGCTCTTAACATATCAGATCCCTTGCTCCCTTCAAACGGGAATCGTTTTTCCTCTATTATTGTTGCCCTGCCTCTAGCTCCTAGCTAGCTGTTGTTATTTTTTTCACCTAAACATGGAAATTCACTTAACCCACTGCGTCATGTCTCCAACCATATTTTGTGTTTTTAACTCTTAGTAAGCGACTTCATATGAATGGATCAAAACAAAATTCCTTTCATATATTTCTCTTATATATTGTCAAACTACTTCTAAAAAGATAATTTAAACACCCTTTAACTGTCAGCTTTCAGTTTTGTAACACATCACACAAGACTCATCGCAAGTTACTAATTAACATTAGTCAAATTGATAAAAATCTAAGTCATATATATCATATAAGATCGACCTTGTACAGGCAAGCAAACACCATAAATATGGCTAAGAACTGTAAATTTAATCTTGATTTAGTTTCATGCATTGTTTGTTTAACAAAAAATCGCAAGATTCCGCGTGTGTGTGTGTGTGTGGGTGTGGACACACAGCAGCACACACTCACGTGCATGGCTTATTTACGTGGATGGCGCACTGGGCTTTCATTGCTTCACATGGTGGAAGCCATCGTTATACTGCCTCCTGTCCTAATTATAAAAACTTGTTGACTAATTTGAGGATATTAATAAAATAAGTTAAGTTAGTTATCTATAATAAATAAGTGTTATTCTAAGATATCCTTACTAATTAAGTGTATTGGCTATAACTATCATTCTTAGAAGGATTATTTTGGGGGAAAATATGTAAATGTGAGAGACAAAGTGGATTTGGATATTATATTTGAGATCAAAATAAAAATTAAATAAAGTCTTATATTAGAGACCGAACGTAGTCTATAGCTAGGCTGGGCTTCTCCATTTACGTGTATAAAAAGGGTAAAAATGGAAGCACTGGACTAGATAATTTCTCAGTTATCCGTTCTCTTGGTCTGTCACTCCTCTCAAGTTCATTGATCAATTATGCATAAGGGACGATGAGGGGTCCGCGCTCATTAGGCTGATGAGCACGGAGTGCTCAGCACTCAAAGCGCCAACGTTTTGAGTGCTGAGACCTTAGTTTGTTTGTTTTTTTTTTTCTTTCTTCCCTTTTACCTTTCTTATTAAAAAAAAATGCATGAAAATTATTTTTGGTTTACATTTTATTTAAAATTCTAAAATATTTTTTAGGTATATTTATTATTCTAAAGTATTGTGTTTCATCTAGCACATTAAAATAATTTTTTCAGATGTGTCCCACATCTTAAAGTATTTTTTGATGCAATTATCCAATACCCTAATTTTTTTTAAGGCAAGTTGACTATCCTAGAAATATTTTTTGATTCGTCCACTGCCTTGAAATATTTTGTCAAATGTGTTTAGCATCCTAAAATATTTTGTGATTTATCAAACGTTTTAAAATATTTTTCAGATACATATAGTATTTTTACTGAATACACACAAAAAAATATTTCAGAATATTGGATAAAACTTAATCCAAAAATAATTTTAATATATATTACCTTCGGTTTTTAATATAAAGGTAGATTAAGAAAACTAGTTAAATTAATTATTTGTAATAAATAGGTGTCTTTTTTAAATCCTTGCTAATTAAATATATTGTCTAAAACTACTATTATTACAATGACTACTTTGAAAAAAAAAGATAAATATAAGAGATAAAATGAATTAAAATCAAAATAAAAATAAACAACCTTTTATATTAAAGACTGAAAATAATATATTTTTTATGATGAATAAGGAAAGAGAACAAAAGAAAAAAAAACTAATGTCCTACATTGCTCAGCACTCAAAATGCCAGTGTTTTGAGTGTTGAGCACGGTCCCAAAATACATACTCATATTACCTAATTAATGACTTTAGAACTTCATGAGATAAAAGTCTGGTACTGTATATAAACTTATTTTAATGTAATTTATATTACAAAATAGGTTTTATATTTAAAATTAAAAGAGTACTTGCTTTTCTGATTAAAAAAATGTGTGTGGGGCACACATGAGTCTTGTTTTTTTTTTTTGACCAGCAACACGTGGATCGATATAAAGTTTTTAGGCTCAGGCCCAGTCTTACCGCCACGGACTGAGCTGAGCTGTCCACTGAAGACCAATCAGGTAACCCCACATGGCGGCGTTCTTTGATCTTTCCACTTGAGGCTGTTCCTCCGGGCGCGCACGGTTGAGGAGGCCGGTTACCACGCGATACGGACACTGCTTTTCAAACCCCCCCGGGGGGCGGGCGGCGGGTGTGGCAACCACACCGGAGCTACGAAAAGAAGAGAAAAATTTCTTCTTCCCAAATTACTCAGCAATTGGGTCTGGGCCCGGTGATCATGGTACGTTGGTAACCCTTTTTTAAAATATCAGGGAGGGGCTGTGGGCCCCGTGGGACCGTTTGAAACTGTAGATAGCGAGGATGGTGTCGACACGTGGCATGAAGTGTGGAGCACGCGTGCCGATGGAATTTTCAATCTGGTCCATTTTTATAATATAAATACTCTTCTAATTTTAAACAGGAGAGCCACTTTATAATTTAATTTATATTATAAAAGTTAGCCTTGATTTCAGAGAATATTATAAAGTAGATTTTATACTTAGAATCAGATGTATTATTTGGTTTTCTAAACTAAATTAAAGCTATTATTGCATCCTTCATTTGTTGTTTACATAAAAGATCTATTTAGACGAGTGTTTAAAATTATTTATAAATATATTTTATATAAATTAAAATAAAATTTTCTAATATAATTATTTTACATTCCGTAAATTATAATTAAAAAATTACATATAAATTCTTTTAAATGACTCAAAAGCTTGTCGCATAAGTTACTTGATTAAAGCTGGAAAAGTACATTCTGTGTCGCATTTTTGTACACGTAATAATTAAAGCCGGAGGAATTTAAAATTAAATTCCATCCGCGGAAAAAAAGAAAAAAATTGCGCTTTCTACTCGCTATCATTCCCCTCTGGCCTCTGCCTTTACGTGATGGTTGAATGGGCCGCCCGAAAATAAAATCCTGTAGAATTTAATTTTTAATGCTTCCCGGATTTACATTTACTTTTCTGGTTCCGCAATCTAACCTAATCGCATCTTAAGTCATGTTAGTTATATATTTAGTATTCGGTTTTGAATTCTGCATGCTCTTAAAATCACTCGTGAATTCAAAATGTGTATAACACACGCATCCCCACCGTGCTGGCTAGCGGAACTATGCAATAGATATAAAAATAGGAGGATTGCAATTAAATCTCAAGGAAAAAAATTTATAAAATAAATCTTAAAAGTTGTTATTTTATACTCTAAAACTTATCATTATAGACTGCTTAAATTGTTATTAAAACTTTTTAGTAATTATTATTTTTATATTTGGAATTAGATTATAATTCTCCTTATAGAAATAGAACTATAGAAGGTCCAAGCAACGTGAGGCTGGGACTTGGTGGAATGATGAATTAAGAATAAAGTATAAAGGCACTTTGAATGGAAGAAACTGGTTGTGAATCATATGCATTTGAATAGTTGAGGAATGAAGAGGGGAGCATGCTGTTGGGCATTTATATGCATTGATTAGTAGTTTTCCTTTTGGTTGAGTATCAGACGCGGCACCTGAGATTCTGAGAAGAAAATTCTTAAATTCGCAGGGAAACACGGGCATCACTCACCAAATACTCCTCCGGTGTATTTTATAAGAGCCTAAGTAGTGTTATTTGAACATTTAATATATTTTTATTATTTTCATCCTTGCAGCTTGACATACTATTTTCCTTACATCCTTTCTTTCATTATTACTCTATTTTTCTCTTTTATTTACTTTATATAGATAATGATATACTTTAAAAAAAGTTCATTTCTTACCTATTTATTATTTTAAAATAATTTTAACTGTTTTCTTTGAGGGTTAATATAGTCTTTAATCCTTCGAGTGTACTCTCATTTTGGTCTTAGTTACTCAAATTTTAAACCATAGGTTTTAATCATTGAAGGGACAAAATGATTTAATTTTTTATTAAATTAAAGAGATCCCAATACTTATAGTTTGAAATCTGAGAGATCAAAACAAAAAAGAAAATAAACTCGAGGGACCAAAGTTTGTATTACCCTTTTCTTTAATTATATAATTTAGCTGTGAAACTCTTATAATTATATATGCATATAAAATTAGATTCCGTAATGCTGTGAAAATTGAACCAGACGTTTCTGTTGATACCCCCGGCGATGGGGGGTGTTCTCTAAGGCCCATGCACCGCCATGCGGCAACAATCTCTTCCTTTGTACGTGCGTATATACTATTTCTGATTTTTAATACAAGATCTTATTTAATTTTTATTTTAATCTTAATTATAAAATCTTAATATATTTTGTCTCTAATATTTATATTTTTTTAAGATAGTCATTCTAATAATGGTAGTTCTAGTCAACACACTTGATTAGCAATGATATTTTAGGAAATACATCTATTTATTACAAATAACTAACTTAACTTATTTTCTTAATATTTTTAAATTAGTTAACTAGCTCTTATAATTAGGATCGGAGGTAATATATTGTTTCTAGGTAAAATTGCAAATAAAGACTCCTGAATGTGTAAAATTGTGATTTGGGATCATGAATTGGGAAAATAGCAAATAAGGACTCGATTCTACTTTTGTAAATATGAAATGTAAGTGAAATGTCTGAAATGCCTCTAAGTTAAATTGTGATTTGGTCTACTGAAATTATCATTAACTAAAGTGAACTTGTCATTTCTTATAGTTAACTCGTCATTTAGCATATCCCCAGCCAGGTTGTAATTTGTTCTATTGAAATTGTCATTCCCTAAAATAAATTTGCATTTCTCATAAATAACTTGTTATTTGGTTGAGGGGCATTTCAGACATTTCATATTTGCAAAAGTGAGACCACTACCAGGTCTTTATTTGCTATTTTTCCAATTCAGATCCCAAATCACAATTTTACATATTTGGGGGTATTCATTTGCAATTTTTCCTTGTTTCTAATCATTATATTTATGGTTTCATGATTTATTAATTATTTTAACTCTTGACGCAAGGCCAGCGGCTTCTTTTGGCTCTTTCTTCGCAAGTAGGGTGTACGTAACCTAAATATTCAGTATTTATAGTGAATAACATGACTTCTATTTTCTTTTTCTTTTTTTATCATTTTCAATTTCTATTTATACCGTCCTGAAAGTTCGGTTAATGATTAAGATGATAAGTTCAGGTTTACAAGAAAGGGAAGGCCCACAAAAAGTTTGCCGTGGTCAAGATTTCACCAGCCCAGGACGCGTGGCGCGATTCTATCTGTATTGTCTCGCCATCGACCCCCAATCATCTGCGAGGCCTGTCCTCCTTATTTGTTTATTTTCGCTATATGTTCAATGCGGGACCAACCCTCAGCGTCGACATACGCCGTACGTAGCGGCGGAGGTTTTAGTTTCTCACCATTCCTATGATTTATAGTTGCATCTTGATTATAATTTGGTTCTTACTGATGTTTGAAATCTGGAATATAACAACAGTTAGACTGGCCTCGATCAATAGTGACTTGGAGTTCACAGGGCCAAAATGTCGAATACGAAGAACTAAAAGTGTGCTGTGCAATCCTAGAACCGATGATATAAAGCAAAAGAAAAGCAGATGCCAAAAGTTACACTGGGGCACCATCATATGCAAAGCACTAGATGATATCACAATAATTTAGATTAAAATAACAAATTGGACATAAATTAAAGAAAAACAAAAAATTTCGACTCCTGATCTTCAATTCTCGTGCTTCATTGCTGCGATCCCGTAGATTTTGCTCAGCTCCGTACACAACTATTAGAGTCTGGAAGAGCTGTTTGCGTTTGTTTGGCCAGATTATGGTTCTGAGCTTTCTGGTGAGATCCTAATATAGCTACCTTCATTTGTTTTGAGCAAGCCTACGTCGTGACAACTAATGAAACCCAGAAGCATAATCCTCAAACTCGAAGAATAATGGAAAAATCTCAAGCATTCAGGCGCCCTTTTGCACTTGAATTGTGATCTTTTCTTCCTTAGGAGGTTGACATGGACAGGCCAAGGCTATGAATTTTGGGACCTCATCTCCTGGCATCAACACCGGCAAGCTCTGGACCACCTCTTGTTTCGTCACCTGCCCATATCAAACCCAGATGAATTAACAAACAAAAATTCATCAGATTTCTCATCAAATGGCTCCTTAACGAGCATAAGTTCTGAGCAAGAGAGGCAGTAATTAATTACCACATAGGGAAGCTCCGGCTTGTGGGGAGGATGATAATAATAAGCTGAATCTGATCCGAGCACAGCGTTGAGAAACCCAGAACATGGAAGCAAAGCTCGAAACTTGTCCCACTGTAAACAACAACAAAGAAGTCCACACAGCAACAGCAACAAGGCGAAGAGAAGGCCCAAGCTCAGAGGGAACCCAACAGACACTCGACTAGCCGTGTCCTCTACCTCCATGTGTGTGGCTCCTTCCTCACACAAGGAAGGAAATGAGGAAACTTGGCTTTAAATGGTGGGTGGGGAGGTTGATGGGAGGGGTATCTACTGGTATGAGTGGACGGTGAAATATTTATTACCTGACGTTGACGTGAGTCAGTAGAAATGGTGTGGGTCATGGTACATCCTTTCTTTTGGTACGGAAGCCCCAAATTTAATTACACTTAGCATTTTTGCATCAATTCTAATCAGTGAGGCCTGCCGTCATCGCTACGTGCGTTGCGTTCTCTTGTGGGATTCTGGAATGTGCTGGACCAATCAATGATGCGCGACACAGGAGTTCCAATGGAATTCACAACATCATATGTATTCCCAAAAATCAGAAGGACGGTACTAGTATTTTACCTTCTCATTATTGCTTCAGACGTTTCTCATCATGATTTGGAAGCTACGGTTCAATGATTAGCGTGCGTGGCCGGCTATATACGTGAAATAAATTTTCCGGGGGGAAAAAAAACACGAAGCGGGAAGGAGATCCTGAAACGAAACCATGCATGTCACGGCAAAGCGTGTGGTTTACAATAATTCTGTCTTCATTGAATAGAATGTGACATGGGCTTCGTTATGGAATCACATAAATGTTTCTGTCTGAACTTATCAATAAGGTTTTAATCGAATTAGATTGAAGTCGACATCACGGACACTAGCACTCCTACGCGGAATGCACTATTGCTTCAAACCTGCCGTTGTTTATAATTAGCTTCCCAGATCGAAAGAACTCTGCCCTTCTCTTTCACTAAACTGGAGATTCTCTCTCTCTCTGTTTTTTTTTTTTTTAAACGAGCTGTGCCTTCCATTTATGCAACGCACAAAGTGTCACACTTCATGATAAAAGTTAAATGTGTTCATTTCTTTAAACAGAAATTCAAATTTTAATTTCTTACGTTGTAAAGAATTAGTCATTCTGTTAGATCTAACTCTCTTGATGGCCGATGCAATGATTGTAAAGTTTAAAGCTACAACCTAGTGGTAGGGAGGACGTGAAATTACAGTCTGGTCCCTAGCTGGGCCTGGACAGATCAGCCTTGGCCCATGTACAAAGGATGGGCCTCAAAAACACTGTTTCATGAGTCCTGCCTATTGGGTCACCTCGAAGTAGAAGAAACAAAATCACAAAATGTTCAAGCCACAGTGGTCTGTGGTGCGCGCATGTATAGAAAGCTGTGAGATTAATGATTGAATCATCGCTAACGTCGCAAAAATCTAATCTCAAATCAGAATAATACCATCCCAATTATACTTGTTTGCTGTGTTTGCATAATGGAGATGAGATGACTGGGCATCTTTAGAGTGAAAGCCCTAGCCTTCTTCCCTGTGCTGCGAGCTTGAAGTGACGCTATCTTTAGCATTCGATATTTCTAAAAAGCAGTGAGGCCAATTCTTTGGTTGTATCTTAAAGATTCTCACCAATTATTTTAGCAAAGTGAGGACGGGGTGACTCACGATTTCAACTGATTGCTGTCTTTAGAGGCAAATTCCAACAAAAGCAAGGGTCGATAAGATCATGATTTAACAACCAGGAGAAAAGGGGATAAGAATATCATTGTCCCCCCAGTCTCTATGTTTTCTTTTCTTGTTTCTCTTTATTATTCTACCAAGCAATGACTGCCACCTAGGTGGCTGGAACTTGGAAGCTTCACGTTTCTTTGTTACAGAATGTGAAACTGAAAACCGGATTACGTATGAAACAAAAAGACATCGTTTTCACTTCAGTTAATATTAGTTTTCGAGTCACACATTGGACCTATGGCTGTTAGTGCCGACCAATGTTGACTCCAGTCGTCCGGTGAGACTATTCGAGGCCTTTTCACGGTGGATTTTAGTTGGGAAATTAATTGCACCTGGCTTTGTGAATAGTGCAGTCTTGTGTAAATCTTATGTCGATTTCTTTTTAACCCCACATTCTAGTTAATCACTGTGTGTGATTTTAGAAAGAGAAGCCCATTAATCATTTTTGCCTATGTACTTAATTTTGTCGCACAGAGTAAAACTGCAGTTGAAAAGGTAAATTTCAATTAAAAAAATGTTAAAGTTCAACTTTTTCAAATGGTTAGCTTTATCATTTACTCGATAAGATGGAGTGGAGGGGGAAAACTTGAGAAAGCCAGTTAAAAAGGAGTTATTTGAGAGTACAATCAAAATAACTGACCAAATGAAGTTGTAGATATTGGCATGCTAGACCTGCTTTGTCGCATCATTCAGCAGTGTGAAAACTAAAAAAGGAAACGTCTTTATAGTTTATACATAAAAGTTACACACACACACACAAAAAAAACAAACTGAGGTGGAAAGGAACAGACTAAAAAAGATTGAACTTTACCCTCTCGTTGTGTCTTGCATTTTTGTCCTTCTTTATACAGAGTCCTACTGGACCTGATACAGCTGAACAACCGAATCAAGGGATTCTCGGGAACAATAACTGCATTATATTCTCTCATTGTCAAATATTTTCATGTACATGCGTGAGCATATTTCATTGAGATATGTGAACGTGCGTGGTAGAGGAATTAAAACTTTCTAAGACGTCTTTGAAAGTCTTGTCCTTGGAATTCGTTGAAATTTGCCAGAGAATGGAATGCGCAGGGTCCATCACATTAATTACAGTAGTTTGATCAAAATGTCCCTTGGGAGGCATTTGAGGGGATTAATAGAGTTATGTCCCTTTGAAGGAAATGCTACACTCTCCTGCTCAAGAAATCACTTTTATTTCCATGGATCGAGGGAGAAAATTGGAACTTTCACTTGTGCTTTAAATAAACGGTCTTCATATATAAAAGTGCGTTTCCTCGCTTCCCTTCTTGCACGCTACAAGCATCTTCCCCCATACCCTGCGCTCCTAAATAGTGCTTGCTTTATATCTTCACAACTCAGTACTCTCCTCTGCTCCATTTCCTGTTCCACGTCAAATATGATAATAACATTAGCACATGATATGGATAAAAATTATAATATAGATGCAGAGACTTCGGCAGGAATGTACATCTGAGCAAGAAGCCTGCACAGTGAAATCATTGAAACAACTTATAACACACTGTTCAATCTCAAGACCAAATGCTTCCAAAGTGTTCATTGTAGATTGCAACAATCCTGGCTTTCCTGCACAGCAAATTTCAATCTGTGTATCCTCATTCTTCCTCTTCACTTCAAACTGCACACAAGAAAAAGAAAATGCATATGTTGAACTTGAAGCAATCACAATTGGTCAAACTATCTTGGTGGGTAACACTAGAAGAGTAAGTTGATATATACCTTGGGTGTATTTCTCACCAAGATTTCATTTTGCTTTTCATCCTTCAAAATGCCTCCGATGTTTGAATCCACCTCCAATTCTTGTTGCAATTTGTTAATCTTCTCCAAGAGTTCTTTCATGTAATCTATAGTGTCTCCAAGGATAGATGTTCTGTCCATCTGCAATGGGCATTGAACAACCAAATTAGCTCTGCCTAACTAAATTTAACATCTCAGAAAACCAAATTGCTAATTTGCTCTCCAATGGACTGTTAATGCATAACGAAATCTAACATCTCAGGAAACCAAATTGCTAATTTGGTGTCCAAGGATTGTTAATGCATACCTTGCTTATCTTGGGGACGATTGACCTCAGCATTGAAAGGCGATCGTTCAACCTCTTTCTCCTTCTCCTCTCAGCCATTAAATTCTTGGAGGGTTGGCCCTGAAGCCTCTTTGCTCGATTCTTTCTTTCCAAAGACGCATCGCCCATGTTGAAAATTGGCATTTCTGGGGAGTGGCTTGGCTCTATCTTGCATGGGGTTTGCAGGTCCAAACTCTGAAGTTCATCCCCAAGCAAACCCGGATCCTCCAAATCTTCCATCATGGACAATCGATAATCTTCTTGACCCATAATTGGAGTATCAAGAACGTTATAGGATGAAGAAGATGAATCAACATTCTGGGGAACAGAGAATTCATCAAGTAAGGAACTGTAGATTTCATTGAAGGCGAAGTTGTTGTTGTGGTAACTCTGAGGAATTTCTTGACAGGAAGAGTTTGGAAGAAAAGGTAGAGAGTTTTGATTAAAACAATCAAAACCCCAGCCATTAGAGAAGAACTGGTTTGATTCTGATGGGATGGTGTCCAATGTTTCCCTTCTCACAGCCAGTAATTCTTCCAAAAAATGATCATGTTCACAGAGTTCCATTTTTTTTTCCTCTTTCTCTTTCTTTGTAAAGTGAATGCTAAAGCTTAAGGAAACACCTTGAGATCAAGTGGTACTACCAAGTTGGAGAATTTATAGGGAGCACAGGGTGAAGCTTCTGGCAAATTGATTATTTATATGAATTGAATTAGCGAAGTATTAATTATGTTTTATCAAAAAAAGTATTAATCATGTTGTATCCAGTAGTACCTATAGCCTAAGACTGAAATGGAATCTGCTTTTCATCCCCCCTCTCTCTCTTCAGATATCTTTTTCACCGAAATCTCTGCAATCAAAAGGGAACTAAATATTTAATTGGCTTACTAGGAAGAAAACTTTGACCCTCACCCTTGTCTGCTACCAAAAAGGATGGAGTTACTCATCAAAAACCCTGCCAGGTTCTTTGCATGTTAAAGCTTCTGTAAAATATATTGTTAAGGAACAGAAGATTAAATTTGAGCTGGGTCCCACCCCTATGTACCTCCAAAATTTGGCTTAGCTCACAAATTCAAATGAGTTGGTGATCTCTTTTGTTGTTTCTAGCACTATCTCTCCATTCCAACATACTTTATACAATATTGTGCATGCTTGTCATATTAAAAAAAGGTAGTCTATCTATTTTACATTCATCTTCTTGGAGACATTTTGATCTATCAAAGCTCCAATTATATAATATAACCTCCATTTGCAGCTTCTCACTCCACCTGGCAACTTGTAGTTGTAGAAGACACCGTACATACGAAGACGAATTTACAACCAAACTACACGTGAAATGGATAATTTCGGGCTTGTGTTTATGGTTATATCAGTTAACAATGTTCGAATATGCAACACCCATTGATGCCTAACTTGCCCTTTTGGTTCGTTTCTGATCTTCAACTACGGGACTGTCCCTATTTGTTATAGGGGTTTTCTAGTCTTTTGACCCCGTTTCATGTCTTAGTCGATCACACCACACTAATTAATGAGATCATAAAACTAGCTAGTGATTAGAATCGTTGCTGTTGTTGTTATCGCCGTTGTAATTAACAAAAGTGGTTTTTCTGTTTAGGTCGTAAAAACTAAAGCACAAGCACAGAGACAAGGCTCACCCACACGTTTGACTTAGCAGCTTTCCTATGTACATAAGCCTAAACGTACACTACGTAAGAGTTAATGATGCTACGCTTTAGATACGGTCATGTATCCTTACGTGGAAACGTATATAGAGAAGACTGTGTATAGGACCCGTGAAGTTGTGCACAGCTGCTTGTGAATTGGGCATCATTATCATGTATATAATACTCCTCCAGTCCTTAATATAGGACCCAATTCTTAAGTTGGTTTTGGTTCTAAATATAGGACCCATTTCTCATATTTATTAATTTTCTCTAAATTATCCTTATGAATACTCCCTCAACCATAATCAAGTAGAAGGAGGAGAGGGGGTATTAAGAAAGATGATTATGGTATTTTAGAAAAAATGTGTCACTTTTCTTATAATTAACTAACTTACCTAACTTCCTTAATCTAATCAAATTAGTTAAATGGGTCTTATATTAAAGACCGGAGGAGTATATACGAGGCATTGTATATATATGAGCTTGATTCTTTCACAGGGATGAAGAAATAAAGTAATTGCCAGGATGTGCTTAAGATCCTTGAAGAAGTAGATTACTCGATATAATATCACTCTCTGGCTTTGAGAGCAGTGAAAAATAAAAATTATGAAAATGCAAGTCACGGGAAAAGGAAAAGGAACATGGGGCCAAAGTGTCTTATTTTCTCGAGTTATGATCATCCCGTGTGAAGAATAATCTGGCGAGGTCACATGCTATTAACTTCTAATTACCCAAAAAAAAAAAACAAAAACACAAGAAGGCCAATGATTTACGAAGTAATGAATGCCTTTTAACTAACACGTGTGAGTAAAGTCAGTGTATTAATTAACCTGGTTTAGTATATGAAATTATGAATCATGGCAAGCCTCTATCATACTAAATGATAAATGATAATTGCTCGCCATATATCCACGAAATTTTACTATTAGCTTTATGTAATTTTACGTGCACGTAATTAGAATTTATTAATTGCATTGTGCTCTTAACTAGTAGCTACAATCATCTTGATCAGGCAGGCTTGTTCCTTTTTTTGGTTAGGTCATAGGTGACACGAACGAACTTAATTAAAGTGACTAAAATATTTTCCTTCTAGTATTATGGATCGATCAAAGTCAACTCAGCAACCACGTGAACAGAGGTGGTGCCCATTTTCATAATGTTACTGTGGAATCAACCTGCTTTCAAAACGTGGAATTTGAGCAGTGGATGTGAACGATAATGAGTGATATACAATTTACACAGTTCTTTTCCCCTTATTTGGGGCCAATGTTGATAATGGGTTTTAACTGAAGGGGGGGGGGGAATTAACTTTGTACATCTCTAAGATGGTTACTTTAAATTTTTTAATAAATAAGTTTTTGTTTTTACAATCCGACGGATGTAAATTATTTTATATGCAGAAAAAAAAGCAGGATATGCATGACTGTTTTTGTGGATCGATATCGTTATTACTAAAACTTGAAAGGTTGATGTGAACAACAACCAGAAAAAAGAATCAGCAAATAATTAAACAAAACGGGGTAGGTAATTAAGGCTCGTTCTATTGTTAGCTAGGCCTTCAACTTTGAATTTTCCACTAATCTTATGACTTCTCTACCTTAGCTTAATGGGAAATTCGCCAATTAACCAGAGGCTGTTCTACTTATCAAAATGATTAAACACCAAGTCAATCATTCGCTTCACCAGATTTTTCAAAAAGTTTTGGAATGATGGTGTCTGGCCTTTCGCAAACCTTCTGATGCAAGAATGACTTGCTCGGAAAGTTCTTCTATTACTTGTGAAAGCTAATTATAATTAAAAATGTCATCGAAAATAATTGATCTCTAGTTATTCCAAAGGCAAAAATGCATGCTGATGTAACCAATAAACAGTAATAATAATGTCACAAAAAATAACGTGAATAATAATTCATCATGAGCAAGGTCCGAGGTATGTTCTGGGATCACAATTCACTGCGACATGAATTCGGCTTTGAAGTTGTGAAGTACCTCACGTTACTATTAAGACAATATTAAATGGCTCCTCCACGCGGAATAATTAGATCGCGGAGTCCACCTAGTACGTATAACTTAGTGACTGTAAATAGCTAGCCAGAACGACTTATTTTTTTTAATAAATATATAGATATATCGAGACTAGTAAAAACGTAAATGTAAAAAAATATATTTTAGACACACTATTTCTTCGTACAATTTTTATTCACTTCTATATATAATTGCATGCACGAATGTTGGATTTGTACGCATCAATGAACCGAGTGGAAGCGAGCTGAACTATCTCATGCCACTTACATATCTAATCAACACTCCCTTAATTTGTCGTACTGCTGTTATGATGATTAGAAATTTATACATATCACCGACAAGTTGTTAGTTGATATGATAAGCAATTTTATCTTGTAAATAAGAAAACATAAGTTTAAATATAAAAAAAAAACACACTTGTCGAGAAGATTTTAATCTTAACGCTGTGGTATGATTAAAAATGTATACATATTATATGATGAGCTTAATTATGCCCTGTACAAGATTTTCATTAGCTTTGGCCATTCTTATAATTTCTATTAATGCCCACGGACAGTGCGTATATATATACACTGTGACTGTATATATGCTCTGTCGCGTATAAAATACAACGTGACAAAAAGAAAACTTTTGAGATTAACATAAAATATACGGGCTGCGCTGTAAAAAATAAATAAATAAAGAGAAACTGATAGTAACGGCCTGAACAGTAGCGAGTAATATTGCGTTATGATGATGTTTGCAGTTGGACCCAGCCAATGTTCAGACCTAACAGCAGGAAGAGTCCTTTTGGTAGAGGAGAGGCAATGGGCAGCGTCAAGTTTGATGACAGATCTTAATGCCTTTTCATAAATGAGAAAGCAATCACAAAATGAGAGAGGGAGGTAGAAGACAAAGTAAAATGAGCAGAAGAGGGCACGAGGAGCACAGAGTCAAATGCTATGTGGCTGAAAAGGAATGGCATTGGCAGTATATAAATTGGTGGGAGAGCGGTATCATAAAACCGCGGCAGTTTCCTCCCACGTCCCCGACACCAATTAGTGGTATTCTCAAAACCACATCTTCATGCTTCTTTCTCTTCAAATCAAGTTAATCTCATACCAGTTTTCACAGCCCACAATATCTCATTTTTGGAATTCTGCTCTTTCCACCAAAACCACCAACTCTCCTCCTCTCCTTCCTTTGTCAGCTAGCGTTTTGTTTGTTACTCCCCACTGATATATTTATATGTACTGGTATATATCATCTGAACCACTTTGTTGATGTTGAAGGGTAGCTATATGTATATAGGTAGGTCGTCGTTTTGCATAATTTGTCGATAGGTTCGACTTGTGTACGTGTGGTTGCCTGGGTATACACATACATTACCCTCTGCATATGCAATAAGATGAAACATGTGAGAGACTGAGACTGGGCCGTATATTTTATTAAAAGAAATAACTTCTTTTCTCTATATGGGAGCACTGGCCTGTGAGGTAATAATACGTGCAGTGAGTACTGTAGGTAATGGAGAGAAAAAAGAAGAATGAGAGAAAGTGAGAGGGGGTCACGAGTGAGATATATATGTGTGTATATATTATATGGGTGAAAGGAAGAGGAGAAAAAGATGGAGAAGGAGCAACCAAACCCCACCAAAATGCACATAATTAAATGCTTGTGGTTGTTTGGATTGGATCATGAAAAGCCGTGCAGGCGTAGTGTGGTTGTGTTACAATATAATCCTACAAGGCTCCACTTTCTGCTTCGTTATATATTTGAATACTCAGCCAAATTAAGCCTACGTGCTCCAACCCTCTTCTTGTCGCTTACAAACTTGAGCTAATCACAGCACCACAACGTCATATTAGTAGCTATTTTATATTTTGCTGGTAAGGGTTCCAAGTTTTGGGAGATATTATGCTCTTCATCACTGTATTTAGGGATGATTATTATTGGTGCGGGTCTTTTTTTTTTGGGTCAGAAAAAGTATAATTTGGTGCGTGTCTAACTGATAAATAATAATCAAGGAACGCAATGTCATCTATGCTTGGTACAACTCATGAAAAGTTGACCCATAACATAACTCCAAATTACATACAAGGGAATTATCGCGAATTCTAGTTTCTCACATTGACGGGGTATTGGTCTTTACAAGATATTTTTGTGATCAAATTAGTGATGTTTCAGAATGCACCCTAACAACATTAAGAAAGCACTGTTTTAGTCCTGAGTTGCAAGCAAATGCATGAACGGTTAAAATTCTCCTAACATGGGGCGTTTTTATTAAAAAAAAAATGGTACTAGTATATTTTGAAGGGGCTAGATTTACGTGTGGATAACAACTTAATATTGGAGAGTATTCTTCTTGGCCTTGTTCGTCGTGCTTTGGTGATATTAAACCTTGTGAGTATGCAGCTTAGGCATCGCTATCAATGGAGGCAGACTAATGTTGACATGTGCATTGTATCATTCACCTTCTTTTGCTTTTCACTTTAATTTATTACTCCATCCAGTCCACATATATCATTGAAGTGGCAGCAAATTCATGCAATTAATAATTATCGTGGAATTAATTAATCAGCATTTAATGACATCCAACTTGTAATTATCTGATCATTTTAAATAGCATTAATTAAATTCATGCATGTACGCCCACCCTCTATATTGTGTGATGTGTCCCACTTGTCCTTTGATTGTTTAGATAGGAAAAAGAATCCAATGGGCGGAAATGGATGGATTAATTAAATGTAGTTATTCGTTTCCGTAGAAATACAATTGTTAATTTCGGCAAAAGGAAAAAAAAGAAGAAGAAATAAAATGGCAAAAAAAATCAAGAAATATATTTAATAGGTGTTTCTATCTTTTTGTTTTGTTTTTAAAAAATTTAGGTGAGTTGAGTTTCTAGAACTCATCAAGTGAAGGTGTGTCTCCAGACATAGAAAATACTTATAGAGGTATTTAAAGATTGTTTATCAACAAAATTCTTACACTGATAACAAGATTTAATCTCATAATCTTGTAGTTCTGGTGTGCCGAATTCAACAATCACCTAATAATATAAAGAACTTGCTATACTAAAATGACTTTATAACGTTAGAAGTGTACAAAAACAAGCACCCTGTTTTTGTAGATATGGAGTATATACAGATAATTATCTTAAAGAAATCACCGCCAAAAAGACCATATATATTATAGCGTAATTATATTGTCTTGATTTATCAATTTTAAATTTTATCCACCATACACGATTTTAATTTTAAATTTAAAACAAAAAGCAACATCTCTATGCTGCATCGATCGGTAATTAATTGCCTGATCTGTATGTCAACGAGTTAGACTTTCTGAGATTGTAGCAGAGTCTGAAAACTATAATAATCTATATATATATATATATAGGTTTTGAATTATGCAATATGCATTATGGATCTGTTGGCAAAATATATATATATATATATATATATATGCATTATGGATCTGTGATCTAAGGCGTCTAATTATGCACCCATCTCGAGTTTATTCCGATATATGACTGATGAGTTATAAAAAAAGGGAATTTTATTCTCTTTCTTCTGGTTCGATCAAAATTAATTTCAGTTGCTCAACGAAGAATATATAACTCCAAAAATATATACGGACACTCACACACACATAATAATTTGTGTGTGTGTGTGTTTTGCCTTCTCTATAACTTCATAGTTCATACAGAAGATTTTCTAAATCCATTATTGGCTCCTTTACCGAGCACGGTCGAGTAAATATGACACGAAATTTCAATGCTCTCCACTTTCTACTATTCCTCTCTATTTCCAGGTTTTCATTTTTCAATATTTCATCCCATCCCTTTTTTTTTTTTTTTTTGAGGTTGATGCGAGCGTTGTTGGTGAGTCATTCTGAGAAAATTCTTTTCAATCAACTTGCTGCTGATGGAATATGTGTAGTTACTTTGTACAATTATGCGTTGCCTGGGAATCAAATAAACTATACCCTAGATTTCTGGCTTCGAAATTGGAAGTCCTGCTTTTTAGTTCGATGTAGATTTTATTTCAGTAGGTTACGACCCAATCGTATCTTTTCATGAGATTCTCATGAAAACCGATCGATCCTATATAAATAAGTGTTATCTAAATGTATATCAACGATTAGGCATCACTTGTCTACCTTCTTAATTATGAGTTGTGATCTTTTTCCATGGTTTCAGAGTATATATGTTTGATGTTGACCCAAAAAAAAAAAAGAGCATATATACGTTTGATGCCAGTTTTGAACGGCCCTTTAATTTGTAGGGTGGTAGCACTACAGTGTAATCTAACCTTTGTCTTTTTAGGGATAGTAGATATAAAAATATACGCACAAAATTATTAAGTATATTGTTGCATCAACCACTGATCATTCAATTTCAAAGAAATTAATTATTTAAACCATACGCACCTATATGAAAGAAGGAGATAAGCTCTTATACATATATATACATATATATCCGCATATATATATTTTAATACACAAACATATTACGTCTACGCTGTTACGCTTTCCCCATGTTCTTAGAACAAACAAATTAAGATCTAGGAACCAGTCACTTACGTCCAAATACCTACTTTCTACATTTGAAAATGTTATTGTCCTGCTTGTATATGAATAGTTTGCAAATAATTAAAATATACCAATAATACGAAGAGCACGAAGTAGCTAGCAACTAAGATTCTGCATTAAGATAGTTCAATATGCTATGATAAAATCTAGAATCCTCATCATATCCTCCCCAGAAGGGAATTACAACTGGCTTACACATGATTGGGACCAAAAAATAGGGAAAAAAAACAAACATGGAATTTGATAATTAAATTTCAGTTAAACTAAGGCAACACCCAACTAGCGACTCATTGATTTGTCCTTTTTCGCTAGAAGCATGTTAGTTTAAGTCTGCATTGATCAAAACTAATTTTTAGTCAAATTTATGTGGGGGCACACTCTGAAAAACAAACCCAGGGAAATCAATCGAGATTTTTGATTTGGACTAAGAATCCAATTCTCCAGGTAATCATTTATAAACAAATTAAATTATCTAATCCAACTTGTTTGTTTCTCTTGGACCAAATTTTGTGGCTGCCAACTGATCGTTTTATTTTGTCATTAATTATAGGCAATTTCAGCTATGGCTAGCTACGTACCTTCCTTGCTTGCCGAGTTTTCCAAACTATGCCTATATTACATATTATCATTAATTAAACCACACTATATATAGTTATAATTAGCTGTCCGAGTTAAATTCAACATTAATTTAGGTTGTTTTCACATTTAACTTGACACATAGTTTCATTGACCAACTCGCATATATATAGTTGAGTGATGAGAAACGTAAAAGATACTGTCATATATCAGGTTGGCTATTTGTCAACCAGTTCCAGAATTTTGAAACGTTTGCAGAAACGACAAATTTTGGGCAAGCGAGCAAGCCGAAATGGACCGCCAAATAAATTTCTTCGGTGTGAACATATATATTATTTCTCATTATGTTCAATTTATACTCCTTGTGATTTTATTCTCGAAAAGATATTATCGTATTATTGTATGTTCTGTTTGGGGAAAGTGAGGGTTCTTGTGGGTGTTATAGAATTAAGGCGTGAGATGAGATGTTTTGTGATATGAGTCGTTTTGTTTGAGGAAAGAGTTGAGAATAATGAATAGTACGCAGTACATATATACGATATGAATTTAATTTAATTTTGTTTGGCATATTTTAGATGTGCGTGCAAATGATAATCCAGCTGGATGGTCATTAAAAACGAACTTTAGAGAATCATTAGCGTGGACTTTAAAATATTCCAAGCCAAATTAAAAGCACGCATTATTCATTTTGCACTACGTATTAGTGATTATCACCACTCAATCTTCTACTAATGACATATCCACCCATAAAAGAAAAAATCTTGAATTTATTATCAATTTCATCCTGAATTTATCCTGATCCTATTGAGGTTAACTCGATAATTCCTGACTATAATTGGGCAATCTCTTACAGGTATTAATATTGCACGTTTTAATAATTAAACTGGTTGAAAAATATAAATCTCCCTTTCTGATCTCCAACGCTCACGTACAGATATCTATTAATGTCATAAAAGATTCGATAAAATTTTATGTTGGCTATCGAAAGCCTAACACAACCCTCTTCTTTTATCCAGACTCGCGTACAGATATCTGTGTTTAAAAATTGGAAGGACCTTCATCTGTGTGCAAAAGTCATGGAAAGACACATCTAATTTCATAATATGGTGGTTATAT